CTCTTTGCCAGTGCCTAATTACACTACATGAACACTGGTAAAACATGGTTCAATTCTTTGGAAATGGAAAATGGAAAATATGTTTAGCATACCTTTAGGGTTTCCACAAGAATCCTTTTTGCGGAGTCAGAGAGTTCCTCCAGGCAGTTATCAGCATCAGGTTCAATAAGAAGTTTCTGAGCTACTAGAATGATGTGCTTTCCAGAGATCAAGAGAGATTCAGCTGCTGGTACCATTTCCCGCTTAAATTCTTGATCGTCAGATTCTGCAGCTAGCCTAGAATTAGACTAAAGCTGTTGTACTCAGCTCAGTGATGGATGCTGTTCAGTCAATAGAATGAATGAAACTTATCTTCGTGATCATGTGTGTCACATCGCATTGTTGCCCTGCTCGTTGATTCATGAGACACAATGCAAGATCCACCACTTACAGCCTCTACTGCAGGGGTGGCCAATTTCAGGGGGATTCAAGGGCTACTTTCTACCTGCCCACACAACTGGGTGACCTGCCGTCCTGCTGCAGCTCCACCTCTAAAATGTGGCAGTGGTGAAGAAACTGACCGTTGCCACTTAAGTTTTGCAGCACCAAATTTGGGAGAAATGACAGGGGCCATGTCAGAGGAAAGGGGCTGTTTTTTGTCCCCACTCCACCCCGCTCTATTGTTTGAAAGTTAATCCTTGACAGAGATCTGGGATATGTGGAACTCCTTTTTAAGCTGGAATCCAAGACGTACTGCAGCATAATCTGTAACATGGCCTCAAAAGTACAGGAATTCACTCACTCAAGAAGTGGACTTGGCAATCCCAGATTTTGCTTCAATGTATGGGAATCAGTCTGTTGGTTGACTGGTTGGTCTGAGCCCAAGTTTTAGAGGGAATTATTTTACATTTAAAATAAATGTTACCTCCTTGCAATGCAGGCGAGCTCATAAGTAGCTGTGGCTAATTCTTCTGCCGTCTTCTCTAAGCCAGTCAAAGCTTCATGGTTCACTTCTCCCCATTCTGCTGTTATAATTAAATGGTAAAGGTCGGCAACCATGGGCAAAATAATTCTCTCAGTTGATTTCATGTAAATGGTAGCACTGATGTCATACAGAGAGAAGGATTCCATTGCGCCTCCTGTGGGAACAGAAAAAACACAATTGCTGGAATAATTTCTACATGCAGCATTCCAGATATGGGTATTTGCAAAATTATTTCCTTTAAGTGAAAGAGCACTGGAGACTTATGGCATATTTGTAATAACAGTTTGTTTACAAATGTCATACCAACAGATCATAAAGGAAGCAAGCAGGCCACAGAACTCCTAAACTTGCAAGAGATCTGAAAGAACAACTGCACTCCAAGGATATCAGTTTTAGTCAGCCCCAGCTAAAAAATCCCTCCCAGCTTTCTGTATCTGATGCTAACTGCACTTCTGCCAAACACTGACAGGTGTGGCATTCCAAAGGCCAGAGAGAGATTTTCAAAAGGACCATTAAGCTCCTTGTGCCAGTTTATCCAAAATCACAATGAGCAACCTGTTCACAATATGTTGAGAACAACTGAGGTTGCACTCACACCACCACAGAAGACAGGATTTCAAGGTTGGTATCCAGCATAGGCATGGCTGGGCACGTGCCAAAGACCCACAGCCCAGCAGGGGATCATCGATCGTTTTGGACTTGCTCTTCTTCTCCACTGCAGCCTGCTTGTCCACCTGCCTCTCAGTCTATTGCAGACACTGTGATGCTAAGAAGAAAGAGCAGTAGGTGCCACTGCCTACATACCCACTGGCTCCTTCCTTTCCCCTGCCTGTCAAGCAAGCAAGAGCCAGTATAGCATAATGGTTAGAGTGCTGGGCTGGTACACAGACAATCGGGGTTCTAGTCCCCACTCAGCCATGAAGCTCACTAGGGCACTTGGGGCCAGTCATGGACTCTCAGCCTAACCTATTTCACAGGGTTCTTGTGAGGATAAAATGAAGAGGAGGAACAGCACACAAGCTACTTGTGTCGGTCATAAATATAATAATAATATGGGGGTGATGATGAGAATGAGGAGCCATAGTGCAAAGCAGAGTCGCCAGGGAAAGGAGCCCATGGGCCCACTGAGAGCATCTTGCTCAAGTGCCCCCTGAAACCCAGAGCCAGCTTGGCTCTATTTCACCCGCTGAGCTGATGTGGCCCTCATTGCGCTCTTTGGCTTTTCCCCTTGAAGGAGTCTGTGAGCTTCTGCAAGCCTCGAGGTACACCAAGACTGCTGATCAAGGTGCGTGCTGGTGTTTTGGCCATGGAAGCAACAGCACTGATGCCCAAACATCAGAAATAGAGGAAGCATGGCTATGCTATGCCTTAGTTCATCAAAGCTGTAGCAAAGACAGGAATGGCTTTGGGCAGTGACCTATCTGAAAAGGGGACCTCTTTGAGAGAGCATTCCCTGATGTGTGGGATGAAAAGAGTTATGATGCTTAAAATGTGGTGCACAATATCACTGATGTTTATCTCACTAACCCCCTGCCTCTAAAACATCAAAATATAAATACTGGAAAGTTCCCACAGCCTCATGAAAACAGGGCCTCATGGACACTACCAACATGAAGTTCCTTTTCAGACTGAACAGCAAAAACAGGAGGAGAGAATCTCTTGATTCTTGGAATCTCTTGTTTCCAAGAATCATACACACATCACCTCATGGGATATGCAAATCAGAGAAGAAATAAGAAGGGTCACTTACTTTGCTGCTGAGAGGGCTTTGGTGGGTTTCTGAACAGGCAGCTTTCATTCATGAGACAGAGATGGCATCGTCTATAAATCATTTATACCGGCTTGTTTACAAGTAACAGGAGCCCTCAGCTGATGTGATGTCTCTCATGGCAACAGGCCGGCAGCTGATCCAACTGGACATCAGCGGAAGCTGGCTAGCTAGGGCTGGTTCCAGGTGTTGAAGGCCCATCGGCAAGCAGTTCTTAGAAGGCCCTTTCCCTTGACCAGCCCACTTTCCCACCACCGTTGTCAGCTGCTCTTCCTTCCCCTCCCCTTTCTCCTCAATGCTAACACTTGTTCGAGAGGCAGAGAGCCAGTGAGGAAGAAGACCGTGAAAGGCAGTCCTTCTCACCACCCTGGCAAGTGGCAGCTGAGCAAGCAGGTTTCACTGGGGAAGGGGAGGCCCAGCTCCCATAGACCAGCCATGCCTGCTCTTAAAGTCAGCCCTGGTGCGAGCTGGCAAATGGTATCCGTACCATTAAAAACCCAAAGGGTGCAAACATCCCCTTGCTTCCAGAACTAAAGCTGAGCAAACCAGGAGTGCAGCAGGAATCTCGGTTTAGCTAGTGGTTCAGCTGGGCAGTTTTATTTAAGTCGCAAACATACACATGTTTAGACCAAAACAGCCCCAGCCTCACCGTTCCCTACTTTATAACTGTTTGTGCATTCCTGAGATGCTGGAACACAAAACTGCCAGATTATTATTATAATAATCTGTGCATGTGTGGCTTTGCATTTTAAACTCACATAATGCATGGCAGCATCACAACCATAGGAATGAAATGGCCTTTGTTTCTTCTGGCTTCACCTGTTGCTCTCTGAGTGGCCGGTTGGAACTGCCATGGGAAACCCGCAAAAAGAACAAAAGTGCAAGAGCACCTTTCTGCACATGGTCCCAGCAACTCATGTGCATAAGCATTGCCTCTGGTGCTGGAGGCAACATACAGCCTAGGACTAGTAGCCACAGAGAGCCTTTTCCTCCATGCATGTGTACAATCCCTATTTAAAGCTGTCCAAATTGGAGGCTCTCACTGCGTATTTCAGAAGTGAATTCCATAGTTCAGTTTTGCTCTGTGTGAAGAAGGGCTGCCTTTTGCATGGCTGGGAGTTCCCTCCAGCGAGAGCTGGTGTGGTGTGGTGTGGTGGCCAGGGTGCTGGGCTAGGGAGATCACGGCTCTACTCCCCACTTGGCCAAGAGACTCACAGGTCTCAGCCCAACCTACCTCACAGGGCTGGTGTTGTGAGGACAACATAGGGCTGGTAACCTGCCTTGGATTCCTTATATGAAGTTTTAATGATGTTTTGTGATGTTTTATGATGCATATTGTTTTATTATACTATTGTATTTGTAACCCACCCAGAGAGCCATTTTGGCCATGGAGCAAATAAAAATCTAATAAATAAGCAAAGGGGAAATGGTGGCATATAAATGCAATGTAATAATAATGCAGTTCCACATGATCTTGGCCTCTGGTATCATGAAAGAAATGTATGTGGACGAAAGAGGAGGGAGACTTCCACAACAGGTATAATTTTATATACCGCTGTCACGTGTCCACCCACCCACTCGACGTATTCCCTCCCCCAGCGCGCGCGCACATTAAACAAACCATGACAATCTTTAGCCAGCCATTGTTGGTATAAGGTGGCCCGCCGCTCTTTTCCACCTGGGTGTTCCACTGCAACGAAGCCAGGAGGAGCCCGTCTCCTTTTGTCTGACAATTTTGGATTGCTGATGTTCCTTCCTACTTATGCTTCTGCTCTCTGTTGAAATGTGGTTGGGCGCGGGGAGGACAAACAGCCCACCAAAGTTGCTGATCCTTGTTTTTCAATGCAAATAAGCTTGGTGTGGCTGTTTTGCTTTTTAAAGGTGTGATCCTATGCATTTAGAGGCAGGAAAAAGAGCCCTACATCCCCCAGCGTCTCCCAGCCTTGGGGAATGCTGGGAGTTGTAGGACTTTTTTCCTCCTTGTCTAAATATGCACAGGACTGCGCCCCGTGGGGCTTTGCAAAGCTTCTGGATGTCTTCGAAATAATGCAATCCAGACAGCTCCGTTTCGAGAGCACGCCAGACTTCGGATAAAGGGACTGTATTTGGCAGAATGCATCGCGTCACGGCGCTGCTGCCTACGCGGCGAAGCAAGTCGCCGGGGCCCGCCCCCGTCTTTGATCCGCCCCCTGACCCATGCGCTCAGCAACACCGGATCATGGTGGGGAAAGGAGGAGTCAGCCGGGAAGAAGCGACGCCTCTCCGTCTCCAGAAGGCTAGCGGGTGCCCTTCTCCCCCGGTGCTGCTGCGCGCAGGGCGCCTGCGGGGAGAGGCGGCGAAAGTTTGGGCTTGCGAGTACCACCCGCAGGTGCGGTGATGGCCGCGCTACGGGAGCAGCCGGAGAGATTCGGGAGCTGCTCCGCCGCCTGATCCACCGTGCCGCTCGCTGCCTTGCGTCTGCCGCCGCCTCCACCATCATCATGTAGGAAGCGTTGCAGCCTCCAGGAAGTGCTTCGGAGCCAGGAATGGATGGATGGTGACCAGGCTGGCTTCTAAGGACACGCACACGCCTCCCTAAATCGCCCTCCCTGCTCCGCGCGGCGGGGGCGCTCGGGGATCGGGCCGAGCGAGCACTGCATGTTTCCATGGAGGGAGGACGCCGGTTCTTCGCTTCCCCCCAAGCGGATTACAAGTGCTCTTGAGCCCGGAGGGGAAGGAGGTGTCTTGTTACACCGGCTCTGAAAAAAAAAAAAATCTTTGCAGCTTGCTCAGAGAAACCGGTGCACATTTTTCTGTAGCGGTTTCAAGCTCGATTTTTGATCCGGCTGGTGGTTTCCCCGCCCTGTCTCCTCCTCCTTTTAAAAATATTTCTTATACTTTTTAAAATGTACACGTTTGTCGTCCGAGATGAAAACAGCAGCGTCTATGCTGAAGTCTCCAAACTCCTCCTTTCCACTGGACAATGGAAGAGGCTGAAAAGAGACAACCCCAGATTTAACCTCATGTTGGGGGAGCGAAACAGACTGCCTTTTGGGAGGCTGGGTAAGCGAGCTGCGCCTCGCACACACGCGTGGCTGGCGGCGGCGGAACAGGCGGCGCGTGTTCGTGTGAATGGTGCGCGCGGCCTGAGTGGGTCTGTACGAATAAGCGCGACCGTGGAGTTTCTACTCCCTAAGAGCTGCTGGATGAACGCAGCTGCTTAAGTTTGGGTGCTGGGCGTGGACCGGGAGGGAGGGAGCGGGGAAGGACGTCAAAGTGAGGTCCGCCTGCCTCGTGCTGCGGATAACTAGATTTGGGTGTTGTCTGCTGCAACAAGGGAGTGACTTGGCTATTCCTAAATCAGCTGGAGGGTTTGTTGGTAGAGTACATATGGACGATAGAAAGGTAATAAATATTCTTGCAGGCGTGATCCGTTCAAACCGGCATCCCTATATTCTTAATGTTTCGGTTGTTTTCTTTTTATAACATTTTAAATCAGGAAAAGTGGATTTCTGCACTGCTGAAACTAACTCATTTTGAAAAGAAACATTTTCTTTTCATGTCTTCAGTGCTGCATTTTGAGCTTTTTTATTACAATTCCAAGGTAGTGCTGGTCCTTTAAAGCAGCCTTGCCCAACCTAGTGCCCTCCGGATATGTTGGATTACAGCATCCATCATCCCCAGCAGTGTCATTGACATGCTGGTTGGAGAGGATGGGAGACGTACTGCAACACGTCTGGAGGATTCCAGCTTGGAGAATCCTACCTTAGATGAATTCTCAGACATTTTTGGAAGGGATTGAAAGGAGAGTGGGAGGAAACACTGAAGAACAAAGAACTGAGCAAACTTATACGGAGGCTGGCCACTTACTTTCCATTTGCTCATTCCTTTGGGCTCTTCGTTTTGTTTTTGTTTGTTGGCTTCCTCAAATTAGAAGGTGATAAAAAGCAACCACATTATTTCCAGCAAGGTTCCCTATTGAAGATGGAAAATTCATTTTACTGAAACTCAGCCCCAAGGCACTCCAGTGTGGCTAAGCATTTGGCATTGATGATATCCAGTCTGTAGTCTCCAAATTAACTCCTCCTCTTGCTTTGCTTTGGGTGCAGATGCGCACTTAACGGTATATGGATTGAAGGCTTCCTATTCCTGAATGCTGATTGGATATACTTGCTCATATAATTTACTCTTAGTTAATATCTCACGTGGGCTCAAAAGTTTTACATTTCCACAATTTTTGCTAAGAAATAGAAAGATGCACCTAGTTGCAGTGGGTGCACATAAACACATAGGCTGCAAGGGGCTTAAGCATGCTTCATGATTCAAAGGTAAGCCCCACTGACCTAGGCTGGGCTTACATCCAGGTGGGCATAGGATTACAGCCTGCAGCCCTGTACTCATTTATCTGAGAGGAAATAAGGCCTTCATTGAATGGACATGCATAAGGATTGTGCTTTAAACCTCTGTTGGTAGCTGTGAATGTGTTAGATAGTTTTACAAAGCAGTGAAGTACTCTCTTATTAATATTAATTATATTTCTCTGATGCCCAATAGCTGAAGCTCTCTGGGCTGTTCACAACAACACTGTTGAAATGATGTGGGGAAAGCCTCTGAGACGGATAAGTGAATTGGAAAGTTTATCCAAAAATAGGAGGAATTCAAACAATTGTTTTATCTGTAATATTTAGTCATGGAGCATTATGTGAACCAACCTTCCCCATCCCAGTGTCAGCTTGCTGTGTTTAACCACAACCCCATTATCCCCAGCCAGATGACTGGGAATGATGGAAGCTTTGGTCACAGATATCTGGAAGGTGCTGGGTTGGGAAATGCTGGTGTCAATCTTTTCAGTAGAGTGATCTATACTTGACTTTTCACAGTTCACTTACTTTGCATTTCAATGAATAAAAAGGGGAAGACTCACACTGCAGAGAGAGGGTGTGTGTGTGTGTGTGTGTGTGGGCAATTCTTACTTTCTTCAAGAAGGCTATTTAACATGCTGTTCCTCAACATTTGAGTCAGCCTGCCAAAAGGAATGAAAGGGAATAGCTTTCTTCCAGAACAGGTGGTCTTGCATAGGGCTCGATTACCATGACTGTAGACAACACCAAGAGAATGTTGCAAAAATGGAAAACAATCCAGCCACAGAGAAGCACAGCAAACCTTATTGGCACTGGTGTGGGTGCTGTAGGCTGGAATGCTGTCACAGTGCCTTGGGAGTATGCCCTGTTGAACTAAGTGGTGCTTTCTTCTGGCTAGACGTAGAGAGGACATTATCTACCTGGCTGGATTGCAACTCCAGAATGTAGCCCAGTTAAAAGCTGAGTCATTTTACTGGGGGATTGTGGGAATTGACCCACAGAGATCTCATCTAGAATAGGAGATCAAACCCCATGAAGAAAAATGGAAGGAACTGGATTTGTCTACGTTGGAGAATAGACAATTAGGAAGTGATAGCATAACCATTTTATTTTTTCCTTTCAGAAGAAATCTTATTTTTAACACAACGATGACAATAAACAAGCAAAAAGCTAAAAAGGGGGAGGGAAAATATGCAAATCATGAAACGTATCAGTACATTTAAACATAACTTTTAATGCAAAAGAAAAAGCAAACAGAAGAGGGGAAGAAAAAGGATGAACTTTTCCATATCAAATGTGTATTTTAATGCAAACAGGCTATAAATCTAAATAGGCATCTGTGCAATTTTGACAGTTGTAGGAGGGTTGCTCAAATGTAGCAAGAGCAGCAAGATCTTCTGTCCATTGAATGAGAAACAGTGAGTGTTTTTTCTTCCAAGCTTGTAGTATAAGTTGCTTTGCAACTTTAAAGCCTGCCAAATAGACCCACTTTAAAATATTTGAACATGTGTCACATAGATGATGAAGCAAATTTATCTCCAGTTGCTGTAGTGGGGAGGACCAAAAGCAGGAGGTTCAAATTACAAGAAAAGAGATTTTGACTAAACATTTGGAAGAACTTATTATTTCACCAACAAACAACACAACATGAAAACGTAACTGACACCAAGCGTGAACCTTTCGACAAAGACCTGTGTATTGCAATACAGGTACATAAAACTGTATAAAGCTTGCAATACAGATAAAACTTCCCTTTGAGGATCTATTCTCTAGATTTTCTTAGGGAATATTAAGTCTTTGTAGATAGTTAGGGGTAATCATGGAGGTTTCAGATCTCCATCGTTCTGGTTGTATAAAAAAATTCAGGACTGCCAGCATTTTTTAAAGCCAGTTGCGTTATCACACAAGGCTATTAGCACTTTGGCCAATTTTTCTGGAAAGGCAATATCCCAAAGTTTCCTTTCCCAGCCTCTAGGTGATAGGACACCTCCTTGTATATTTCCAGACTGACACTTATTTCCATTTGGGCTAAAGTCCAGAGGAATGTGTGGTAGATGTGTGTTGACAGATGTGTGGTAGATGTGTGTTGACTCTCACAAAGAGGGGTGGTGGTCCTACATCTGCCACATCTGTTCTGATCTTTATCTTTTCTTGCCAAACAGAATACATTTATTTTTTTAATTGGGGTATTTTGAGGCCATCCAATCACACTGAGTCTCTGGATGGTTCATAGCAAAATTTTTATCCAGAATCTTTCTATGACTCTAAGCACAGCCTCTCAGCATTGGGGGACTGCTTCTCTTGAAAACGTAGCTGATTTTTACCGACATGAAATGTGCATACGCGCGCGCGCTCTTGCACGCGCTCACTCGCGCGCGCGCGCGCTCTCTCTCTCTCTCTCTCTCTCTCTCTCTATATATATATATATATATAAAGTTGAACTTTCCCTCAGCTGAGATTAAGCCAGTCCATATGGAGGTGGAGCCCACAGTTAATTCCACTGACAATCTCCAATGGTGATACTGTACTTCGATCTTTTCCCCATACTCATTTTACCCGTCAATATCTCCCACTGACATTTCTTTGAGTATTTTGCATATTTGTGAGATCAGACCTTTTGAGCTGGGATTTGTTTTTTTCTGTTTGGAGGTCATACCATCTGTGCCTTCACTGGAATCGAGGTCAAATAAGAGATTAGGAGGAACTTCTGATGGTGCTGTTTAACAGTAAAACAGTCTGCCGCAGAAAGGGATGGATTCTCTGTTGGATGTTTTAAGCAGAGGCCAAGACTTGCCTATTAGGGATGCTATAGCAGACCATTTTCTGCACTGACAGGGGTCTTTGAGGTGCTTTCCAGCTCTGTGGCTCTGAGATAAGCTTAGGAGGATGGAACAATGCTGAGATAAGAATCTGTCAAGTACTTTGTGCACTGCAAGTTTTGTGCAGATGTTGACTACAAGGAAAGCTAATTTTTCCAACTTCAGGGAGGAAAAGTAGGAATGAAGACCCTAAACCAGAGGTGAGGAACCTGTCTTTCTCCAGAGATGGACTCTAACATCAGCCCAAGCTGGCGTGATGGGGATTGTAGCCCAGAAAAGTCAGGAATAGAGATTCACCACACCTATCTTAGATACTTCCATCCTACCACCTAAAAATGAAAGTATGAAAATAGCCAGTTTGGGAGAAATTTATCACATACCAAGGCTTGTGTATTGTGGAAAATTGTAATAGTATACAAAATAATTAGTTTGACATCACTTTTCATATTCTAGTAACCAGAAAAGTGGCTCATAGTACAACCTTTTTCATGTCTCCTCAGAAATAAGTTCCACTTCGTTCAGTAGAGCTTATTTCCAGGCAAGTGAGTTAACGATTGTAGCATTAATTGTATAAGACAATTGGATTGTGATTAGGCTAACCAAACATATTTGCTTGTTCTGTCTGTTAACAGAACTAGCAGTGTCATGGAAACTGGCCTTAGGGAATTGTGACTCTGTCACCAGCTTCTGTGCCACTTGCCTCCCAGCTAGCAGAAGTCCTTTTCCCACAAGGTTATGAGTTTTGTGCTTTGCCGGGTCACCTCCTGTACTAACTCAGCCATCGTTTTAAATGAGGTAAGCAGTACATTAGCTCTCGTTTTGGGGGACTAGTCTGCAGTAGTCCTATATCTGTTGACTGTTGCTAGATGCCTTAATTTGGAGG